GATACAACTTCAATTGCTCTTAATTTTGCTTTATTTATGATACGATATATATCATTTCATTTTTTTCAATATGGTTGAGTTCTATTTAAATTGCTTCCTTTCCTATCGTTATCTGTTTACATAACGGAACATTTGTTAAAAGTACAACAGTTTACAATTTTTAAATTATGAAATTCATCATGATCTACAACATTTTCCTGCATAGGGAAAATTCGATTCTGATCGATTTACACTTGAATTAGTTCAACAGAGATATTTTAATACATATATTTCATTTTCTTCTGATCTAAGAAATTGTATTGGTATGCAGAGAAATTATACAAAATAAAATAATTCTTCGTTTTGATAATGCACTCACAATCAAATATTGTTCACTTTAAAATAGTATCATTAGTTACTTGAAATCACGATGGAACCACCGAGAATGTGAGTGATAAACTAGCTTGAAGGTTAGCACGATAATGAAGTTTTCTAACTTGTTATTTTCCGTGCCATCATGACTTGTGGCAAACAGTTGCTTATATGTATTAGAAACAACAAAATAAAGGTTAATTTAAACAGTGGAGTACAAGCAGACGAAATGCTCTAATACTGCTTACATTTGGAGGAACTAACAAAGTAAAACGAAACCTAATATAGAATATATGTACAGCGAAGAGGGCTAGATAATATCTTCCGAAAGTAAGAAATTGTTCCATTTCGAGTAGTAATGCTTTTTAAAAAAAAACAACATCTCTAACATCAGATGATTCACATTAGAGACAAATCGTTTAATCATTTCTACCTTTTTTTTTTAATCAGAAGTCAAAAAGACTTAAGAAGATATGAATCATATTACTTGTTCATCTTAAGAAGAAATTCTGTAGGCTGAACCATTTTTGTATAAATGAAAATAACTTTCCCATTGATTGGTTTAATTGTCTATTGCTGTACGAATCTAAAATTTTCTTTTTGACTGATGTATGCAGTGACTTTCAAAATTAATCATATACCTGAATAGAGAAAATTGTTTCCAACTAGGATTTGAGATAAATAAAATCTTTATAATAATTATTCTGCAAATGCAAGATCTCTAGAAAATTCCCAAATTAGTTTTTCAGTGTCCAGAACTCGAAAATAAAAACTTCTTTTGGTTACACAGAATGATAGAGAAATTCTCTACAAAATCACACATCTCCGAGCTCTTCATGAAAATTTTTGACTGAATTATATAAGTTTGAAGATAAGTTCAAAAATTCTCCATTGTCAACAACGTCCAAAAATAGGTTTTTTCACCATTTCCTAAGGAAAAAATTGTAGATTCCGTCAAAAAATGTCATAGAAGAGACGTTGCTTTGTTGTTCTGTATAATCAAAAGAAATCTTTTTTCAGGTTCTTGATACTGAAAATCTAGATTTGAAGTTTTATAAAGATCTTGAATTTTGAGAATTCTGTGAAAAATTTATTTTCCTCAAATCCTTGTTGTAAATAATTCTCTCTATTCAAGTCACTATTTTAATTCTTTATGCAAATTACCATTACAGAAAAAAATTGAAATTAAATCTATATAAACCATTTTTGAAGTCACTGTATATTTTTCTATGTGCTATTTGTTAATGAAAATTTCCCTCTGATTCCTTTCCCTTGAAATTTATTTATGAATCTAATTCGTGTATATTTATTCATTACTTAACATATGAAGTATAAACACGTTGTTATAGAAATGTAAAAATACTTGACTGTTTTAATGATGTAACTCCGACATTGACTCCGAAAAAAATCTTCATGATCACTCCGACTCTATTGAAAGTCGATACAGGACTCCTAACACACATATAGAATATCGCATCAGCTGCAGATGTCACGGAAATAAAAACAGAAGGCATCGATTTATCTCGTATATCTGATCGTGTTTGTGATATCATTTGTATGTATCAGTCTGATTATATCGGACACCCACGCATCAACATATCATTCCTAGTATATACCCAATATGTAACGGTATATCTTCAATATCTCTTATACTATGAGCTTTCCGAGAAATTCTCAAAAACAAAAAAAAACATCTAAAAATTTCATGAAGTGAAAATCGAATATTTAAATATTGTATCTCTTGAATGAGATAAAACAAATTTTTACGCATTGGAAATTATTCGTAGGTGAGTTGTATAATAGTTTGCTTTTGTTATATATTTACGCGGGCGAAAAAATGTCAACCGTACGAAAAAGAAAAGCATTCATTTTTTGTCATTATAATAACAACAATATACTCGAGTAATGGCTCAAAAGTTCGTTCTGATTGCATACCTAACATCAAGTCATTATATCGTATTCCTTCTACGCAAGTATATAATTATTCATTTAGTGAATAATCATTCACCTGTCAATGATGAAATAAAAAACCCAAACACATGTCGAGAATGTGTAGGACATAGATACAAAAAAATTTACATTGACGGTATAGGTATAAAAAGTAAAGGTATTCAAGCAGAACAGAAGAAAAAAAAAAGTACTTGCAAACGTATTTTTCATCATAATTTTTATCGTTTACATTCAACATGCAGTTTCAATTTAACTTGATTAATATTACATTTGCTTGTCTATTGATCTTTATTTGTTTTATTATTAATAATAAAATTGATGCTCGAGCATTACGCAGAAATGTACATGATGCTGCTATACAAAACATACAACAATTTCCACATTTGGTTCTCCGAAAAAAACGCGATACATTAACCGACTTAGATGATGATGATAATGTATTTCAACAAGATGAACGTTATTTAGACGATGAAGTTGCTGATACTGAAAATAATGTTGATGACCGTGAACAGCTCGACAATGACAGGTCTTTTTCATCTGAAGGAGATAATCAAGCACTTAGATTTCTGAATCATAATGATGATGTAGATTCACCTGACAACAGTGATAGAGACGCAACTGATTTAGATGAAGAATCTGCGTAAGATTATTCGAACAAATCGGATGAATAGAAAAAAAAATAAAATATACAATAGTTCAATTAAAAATTATAATCATTGATAATATTGACAGAATCAATATATTTATTAATTTCAACTAATTTATATTTATATTTAACTAATCATCATTATATTAAAATATTTTATTTTATTCTCATGTTTATTCTACTAACATATTAAATGAAATTAAAAAAAATTAAAATTAAAAGCATGTATTAAGATATTTTATGAAACAATATTGTAAATATTTTATATTTAATTAAATTCTCTTTCTAAAAATTAATTAACTCATTCTATTTAAATTATATTGGATGTGTAAAAATATTTTTCTACGGAGAGTAACGCTGTGATTTCAAATAATAACAAATTTTATGCTAAATTAAGGGGATACCTCAATACACTCTCAA